TTTCTTTCCCCGATGACGGCAACTTTTTATCAGCCGCGAGACTCACATACTTCCTGCCCGACAACGGGCTGAAATTCCACGCGGTAGTCGTCACGATACACAGTAAGAAGCTAATCGAGCTGGATTCGCCAGAAGGAGTTGCCGAGTGATCCGGAGGGTCCCGCAGGAGAGAGGATTCTCCACGGGGTGCCAAGAAACGTTCCAGTCTTTCCCATGTTGGTTGTTCTTGCACCAATGAAAAGCACGCGGTACCAGTACGTTTTTTGCGTAACTTAATGAAGCGAAAGAAGGACCGGCTTCTCCATTAGGCGATTTAACTCGCGGCGCATGGACTGTGTGCTCTTTTTTCTTTGTTTCTTTCTTTCTTTTTTTTCTTCTTTTTTCTTTTTTTTTTTTTTTAATGAACACATATCTCTTAGGACACGATATTCGAAACGTTCGCTGTTATAAAAAAAACGGTAATTTATTGCTGAACGTGATAAATTTAGCGCGGATGTGAATTGATTCCGCAATCTTATAAAAATGAAATATAGTACATAAAAAAATAACGTAATGATAAAAAGACTTGCTAATAAGATACAAATATATTTTCATTTTAATATTATAATAAATGCAATAGAAGAGAGAAGGCATAAATAAGGTATCCCACGATATCTTGTATAGTTTGCATTCTAGAAGCGACATATTAAAATGATAAAACGATTGATGATTTGTATGTAACGGTAGAGAAATCGTTTGGAAAATTGGAATCGCTTCCGTGGAGGAATTTGTTCGCCAGTATTCGCGATAATGTTCGGCGGAAGTTGTCTCTTTGGGAAAGTGGAAACAGCTGCTGGAATGTCCTTTCAACGTTGTAATAACGGAGACTACACGACCATCTTCGAGGATAACACGACAGGAAGTTTCACCACGGGGTGCCCGTGGTACATGCAACAGGGCCGAGGTCAATCGTCGACGAGTGATACCTACGCGGTTAGAAAGTCAAGAGATGTTCAGCGATTGATGCAACGTCTCCTTCGCGAACGTCCGACTATACTCGCTTCAATACTGAGAAGCGACTGTTAATTGGAAAATCGGCGTTGCGGTTGATTCAACTCTCCGGGATGCGAAAGGTGCTTCTCCGACTTAGAGCTTACTCCGGAGAATGCAAGAAGCTCTTCATGGGGTGCCAAGAAGTGTACAGGAGAAGTTGTTTTGCTTTTGTGTAGTAGAAAGGAGGAATTATTACGCAGGCGTGATTATGCTGTCACTGTATTGATATGAGTCGCTTCTCTGGCGTCGCAAAACTCGATAAGACATTAAGCAAAGTTGTATAATGTACACGCACATGATGATCAACGTGAAAAAACATATCTTTGTAAATACGAGAAATATCATATAAATATCATAAATTTTACAAAAAGGTTACGTACAAATAGACAAGAAGACTATTATCTCAGAAATGGTGACAGATACCGAAAAATGCCTATTTTACAGGACTATTTTGATTCCTCTCGACCTATGAGAATACCTCGAAGTTTTATCACGAGGAATATCATAAATCGCTCTTGTTCGAGAAAACAATTCTGATGTCTTGATCTGTGTCTTGACCTATGAAACTTTTTTTTTGTCAGAATGTATTTTAGTTTAGCAATTGATGATATTATATTAAATTTTTCTAGAGAGAAACTATGCATCAAGATACTTAACGACATTTGAAGAGAGCGTATCGGCAATATTTACATGACGGGACATGTTAATAAACGAGCTGAAAAGACGATGCAGTTAAGTTTCCTTGGGACTTCCTACCTAGCTCGCAAACGTCACCTCTAGTCGCAAGCAATAAACAGACCTTCACTCGGTAAAATGGATACGGAGAGACCGCAGTAAAAACACACGCTCGCGTTCCAAATACCATGCGATCGTGATATCGCTGCCGGATAAATTAGAGAAACAAATATCTGTCGTTTGATTATTTTCAACAAACTCGAATTTACGGTTAAAAAATTGACACGAAATCGAGGATGGGACAATGTTGCTCTTCCAACATCGACAGAGTATTTGGCGTAACGTCTATCTTGACACCGATCGTGTCATAAATTGGTTTATTCGACGTACGTTATCGGACTCAGATACACGCTTATCTGTTTCTTTATACGTTTTCCAAACATGTATGAAAATGCACTGATCTTCCTATTCTTCTCCTTTTTTCGTCTAGCTGAAGAATGCGGAGAATCCGATGTCGATTGTGATAACTGGCGCAATCATTTAGCACGACTAACCAAACGACCGTGTCTGGCACGATAACCCAGCAATGATTTTGCGAATGCTCGATTACGTGATATCATTCACGCACGGTAATGTCATGTACGTACATATGTGCATCAAAATGGTCAAAGTGGCATTCGTCCGGCCAAATATAATCCGCGTCGCTGCAACTGATAAGGATTTTATTGATGAAAAATGGCATTCAAGCATGCACCGCTAAATTTCGATACAAAGTCATTGTTATGATCATAGATGTATTCAGGAATTGGGAATCCCTCTCTAAGATTTTTTATTTTTATTTTTTTATTTTTATACATTAAGAAAAAATTCTATGGTTGAAAGTGGGTGAATCAAAAGATTCTGATTATATCAATCAGAATTCTGATTTATCTCAAGAGTTATAATAGATTCAACCGGAAAATTTTTATTTATTCCATTTTCAACTAAAGTTCCAATTAATACAGCCTCTTTTTTCAATGTAAATTTATATGACGACAAAATTGATGTATTATCTCTCCCAAAATCTTGAATATATTCATAGATATTGTTCAAGACGGTTGCTAGATATATATATTGCAAAACTTTTCAGATGCCAATATTGACTTTGCGAATTGTGTTTGCATAATTAAGAAAAAAACATATTCTTAAACTTTATACAACAAACACGATGCGTGTTCTACATTGTAGTAAGATAAATTGACAATTGCCACTTAACTTTAGGATGTTACACTTCCGCGTTCTCTTGTAGAATGTATTTTGTCTAACTAACGTTCAGCCTACGCAGAGTTCATATAATTTTCAACATGGTTGCTTCAATTTTGCTCGTAACGGAACTTTGTGTTTTGTGAAATATAAATACCTCGTTGATTCTTGCGCCTGGACGTAACTCTTTTTAGATAGTAGCATATTACAGTAAAGTAGCATATTACAGTAAAATGAGGATTTTGAGCAATGTTATTACCGACCTAGCAATAGAACTAGTTTACGTGTCGACATATTAACCTCGAAACTGTAAACGATTATTGTAACCTAAAAATGGCCACGAAACAAAATTACAGTAATTATCCCGACGTGCTTAGCTAAAACGAGGTTTCTTCGCTTTGGTCGGTAATTGCGCTAGTATTGCTAGGT